TTAAGGGGGCGACCGTTATCTCCTCACGTCCCGGCCGCCCGCCCCGGGCTGTTTGCAGCCGTGGGCCGAGGGGTGACGGACGCTCGGTTTCTGACGGAACTTGCTGGGAGACGGATTGCCTTCAGCAACGGTTGCTCTCGTTTTCATAAAATGAATTGCGCGAGGGTGCTTAGTTTCTTCTCTTAATTAGCCCGGGCTGTCACACTTGGTGCCCCTGCCGTCTTTAGCCGGGGCTGGGACCAGCTAGAGTTCCAAGGCGCATTTAGTAATGGAAATTAATGCTTCGCCATGTAATACGTCCTCGTGCAACTGCTCCTGCTGGGTGCTCGGCTGAAGCTGCGTGCTGCCTCCCTCTCCAGGCCCTTCAAGTCCTTCGCTTCCCACACTGGGTCACTGTTTCCCCCGCTTTCAGGGAGAGACCGGCCCCCGCTGATATTCACTTCTGCTTTGGCTCTGAGATACCCCAGTAGCGATCCACCAAAATTAAAAGTTTAGAAAAACAGTTTTGTTACTGATCTCTAAAATTTATCCAAGGAAAAGAAGCCAGCGCACAGAGTCAATGGCGAGAGGGAGTTGCAGAGAGCTGTGAGGGACTGGTCTCTTCACGGGAGGTGCTAGCTTTTGCCTTCCCAAATGTCAGCATCCTAGACTAGCTAACTCATTAAGTCAGAGAAAATGGATAAAATGTCAGCTGGAATACATAGACAGTAGTCTCTTACTGACATGCAGAAATCACTGCTGTTTCCGTCACTGAAATCTTAGTTCACGGGATAACTGCAAATTAAATGGATGGGAAGCTGAGGTTAGGGGAAGGAGCGGTTCTCGTGGTAAAAGCTCAAGGACTTGGCAACCGAACTTCAGCTTGGCAGATAGGATGGCTACGTTATTTCATCCACATGTCACTAGGCAGCACCACTGTAGCATTTTCATTATCCTGTTTCTTCTGTGGTTCTGGCATGAGAGAAATAAGTATCTATCAAAATATTACTACCTCTTATGCTTCCTGTTCATTTCACCCATTTGCTGCATTTTGTCTTAATGTAGACACAAACATACCATGGCAAAAGCTGTATCTTCCTAGCTATTCCTTGTCGTACCCTGTAGCATGGGCATCCCAGCCCTACCTGGGTTCCAGATAATTACTGGTCTTGCATTTCTGCTGGGCTGTTATTATTTGCTTTGCTGGTCACCTTCTCTTACAGCGTTCAAGAAATCCTTCTTGTCCTCCCACGCTCGAGATGGCTACAGTTTGACTGGCAGTCTTCCTCCGGATTCCGAGGGAAGTTTTGTGTAACCGGATGCTATTCCCAAATGACAGGCAGAGGGGAGTGTTATGCAGCAGAGAGGAGGAAAGTGAGGTTACTTTCCAGTGACTGTGGTTCCTGCACATGCTTTTTTGCAGATAGATACATTTACAGTGTGGAGGTTTGCACAACAAACACTTGAGCCAGACTTGTTTTTAGTGAAGCAATACCCAGAGGGGGCACACATGCTCTACCTTCCCTCCCACCACGTACATAATCACAAAATAGTGGTGTACTGTGGTGAGGCTCGACAACAGAAATACTGAAAAAAAAAAAAAAGAGACTTGGAGAAGGAGGAAGGAAGGAAAATAGGTAGCAAATATGCATATGGATGTTTCGGCTTAGAGAACTGCAGTTACTACTAGTATTTTTTTTTCTCTTTTGAGAGCCAGTCCATAAATGCTGGGTGATTCCAGTACTTCTTTCCATCATACACTTGCTGGGGATGCAGAGCTGGGTCTTGGGGTCTTCTTAAGGAAAGAAAGACTCTTCTATTAAATACATTATTGTTCCACAGTGTCTTGGCAATCACAGAGATGGGGTTGGAAGAGTGGTGCCTCAGGCATGAAGCTTCCTGCAGACACCTGAGATGATGGTAACGATAGTAACTGAGCTCTAGTGCCTGCAGTACAGCCCACTCACCCCAAGGCACCAGCCAGGACGACTCATAGGTCATAACACACCAGTAAAAAAAAGGTCTTCTTGGTATTTAATGTCCGAAGATGACTCAACTGCAGAGGTGTGAGGCTGGGGAAAGAAAGCTGCTGTTCATTTCTTAATTTGGATGGAATTCTGACACAACCATTGGAAGAATTTTGGGATGAACCCAAAGAGCTGTCCTAATCATGAACAAGGCTGTATAGCTGACAGGAGTCCCTCTGAATCTCTGCTATGTGGAAGAAATGGCTGTGAAGAAAGACACGTGCAACAGGAGAGAAGGACTTGAACGGCTGTCTCAGGAAGGGTGTGAGGACCGAGTTCAGATCCTGTGGAAATAAAAGGTCTCTGACCAGAAGAATTGTTATCAAACATTGTCATGCCAAAGCCTGTTCCAGACTGGCCTTGGGCCTTTTCTAAAGCCAAGCTGCTAAAACATGAAGGCTTCATTTTTTTTTTTCTCTCATCAGGGATGAATCAGATACAGCAGTATTTCTCCTCCAGCATTGGTTTGTGCCTGGAATCTCTCTTAGACCCATTTCCTATCCTCTGATGAGCAGAGCTGAGTTTCTTTTCTCCTGAGACCTCAGCAAAGTAAGGCAAGAACTGATAGTAGTGATTTTCACTGTTGCAGTTTAGCTACCGATTCTGGTGTCAGAAGCTTTTGCCTGTCTGAAGTGAAAAGCACTAAAACATTGCCCCTAATTCTGGATCCACATTTGACACATCCCTACCTGTTGCTTTTCGCCTGAGGATGCAAGTGCTGGATAGTTCGCATCAACAGGAAGTGTGTGCCTGTATCTTGCTTCAGGTGTTGCCATCAACATTCAGAAAGGTTCAGCTGGATTAAGTTACCTAGCTAAGAACAGCAAACTTTTGTTCTGGCATGGATTTACCAGGTCAAGAAAAGTGGGGACAGTGGGAAAAGTCAACAGCTCCTCCAAAGGGATGGTCCAACTTCTTTTTTAGGGGATGTGTCAAGGTGCCCGGAGAGCTACGGTATTCCTCTTCAAGTAAGGGTGGAAGAGACAAGAGACCTGGTTGATGAAGGAGTGATGTTGGAGCAGCTGGTGCCAGCAGGCTCTCCAGTAACTGTTTGAAAACTTGAAGAGCTCCAGCGTCCAAGGCTCTGCAGGGACCTTGATATACCTGAAATCATGAAACTGTCAGAGACACTATAAACATTTCTAATATGACAGCTGGAAGGTACTACAAGGCCATGAATCATGCTGCAAATCACACAGGCTGTAAGCAAGAAAACAAAAGGAATTTTATGAGAGAAGTTATGCCCTAGGCTTATGGCTGTGGTTCAGCTGACCTCTTTGGATGAGAAGAGGAGAAAGGAATTGATACACTGGTATGGCATCTTACTCAAAAAAATTTTCCCATTTTCTCAGACAAGCTGCAAAATATTAGTGTTGCAGTCCTAGAGATGCTGGACAGCTAAAAGCAAAGTCACAACATCAAGAAATCCTCTAACTTAGGAAAGAAAGGAGTACTTAAGAGTGGCTTTGAAACACCAAGGGCAGCCATAAAAGTCCTCAAGGTTACCTTTTGATTCTCTATTTGCATTCCCTGTGTGTTTCTGTGAAATACAGAGTATGAACAGTGGGAGGAAACCAAAGGAAGATCAGCTCTCAGTAGGCAGCATCTTGTCAAGGGCAGCATAGCCTGGAGGGAAGAACTCTTGAACTGCTAGCTAGGCATAAAGTTAAGTTTTCAGGTAGTTGAAACAAGGCTGCTTTGGTTTTCTTTCATCCATGATCTCCTTAAGGAGTTCTCTGGGAGAGCACCAACCTCCTCATTTTAAAAGATAAAACATCCTTGCGCTATGGCTTATTCTCCCAGATCTTACATATTGCTTTTGGTGCTCTTTGCTTAACTTTATGGAATAAACTCAGTCTGTCACTTACCTTTTAACTATGTCTAGTACTAAGTGTGATCTCAGTGTGAACCAGATATGCATAAAAGGCATTAAATCCTTATTGGGATACAGCAAATGTGTTATCAGGGCAGAGAGGCAGGCTTATGGAGCATCTGCTTCCCCAAAATGTGTGCTGAGAGCTTGAGAGAGAGAATCCCATCATCCCTGCAATGAGGGCTGTCAGTTAGTGCTGGAACTAACATAAAGGAAGGGAAAGAAATATCACCAGTGCCCTCTGAGCAAGCTGGAGAAAAGATGGCTGGATATGGAGCATAGTCGTGTTTGCCACATACAGCCAGTAGAGAAAAATAAATGCATTGGTCTACCACGATCCAGGAGTAGAGAGTTGAGAGGAAAAGAGGCGTGCAGGAGAG